TATATATTATTTATATATAATATATATGTTATTGAATTTTCTTTTCCCTTTAATAATTTATTATTATTTTTAAATTAAATCGGGTTGTATTAGATTCGGATATCCAACATATTGATCGGATTCATATTTGAATCAATATTTATGAGATCCAATCGGATCTTCGGATTGAATCGAATCGAATTCAAATATACCCTGATTCAAATATGATCCGATCTATTTGCATACCTACCAAACCACTTGCCTACAGTGACCTAGCTAATTAAATCATTGAACCATTTGACATGGTTAGTCGGGTCATGTGTTATACATTAATGCTCTTTATTTTTTTATCCTAACTTTCATCCCATTTCTATCATTAATCAAAATAATTCTCATTAATCACACTTTTTTTATATGATGAATATATAAAATTATAGAATGTACCCAAAATTACCTACAAATTTCTATATTTTCTAGAATTTTATGTATTTTAGTATTTAAGAATAACATCATGTGTTGATCCATTTGACATGGATAGTTGAACCAATAACCCACCACTTGGATGGAAAAGTCATTTTTTCTTTTTCGGTTGATTTTAAATAATGTATTACATTTTCATCATCAATAAAAGTAATTCTTATTTCCGCATTTATTTTTGCACGTGGCAGTACCAAATGATGATGATGATAATAATTAGTAACCAAAGGACCTTACTGATTGAACCATTAACCTATTTAACCAGGAAAATGGACTATGATTAAGACATTAATTCATTTTTTCTTTATATTTTAGTCATTTCTATCTTTGCTAACAATAATTCTCATTTTTTTAAATAAATTTTTGTTTAATATGAAGAATATATAATATTAATGTATGTTCAAAATTTTTTATAAAATTTATAAAAAATTCTATATTTTTATTTTTTATTATTTAATTTATGAGATAATAAAAATTACTTAATATTCGTTACTTAGTTATGACATCATATATTGACCCATTTAACCTGGAATGTTAGAACATTGACCTACCTACCACTAGATATGGAAATGGTTTAATTTTCAAACTGATTTTGAATTTTGCATTTCATTTATATCATTGATAAAATAATTAATTATTATTTATCATAATTATTTTTGTTTATATTATTAGCATATAATATTATAGATGTGCCCAAAATTGTTTCATATTTTTTATACTATTCTATTTAAAAAAATATTTTTAATTATACATCATGAGTTAACTTATTTGACTTGAAAGGTTGAACCACTAACCCACCCCTAGATAGGAAGATTGTTTAATTTCCCATCGGTTTTAAGTTGTATATTTGATGTCCATCATTAATAAAATCATGTCTATTTTATCACAATTATTTTTTAATATGAAAAATATATAATAATAGAAATGTGTCAATTTTTTTTTTCAAAATTTTTTTTATATTTTTTGTATATCCTATATTTCTAAATTTATATTATTTATTTATGACATCATGAAATTATCCATTTGACCCAAATGGTTGAAGTACTTACCCATGACCTAGATGGAAAATATGATTCCATTTTTAGGTTTATTTTAAAAATATAAAATTTCATTGTATTAATAATTATTGTGTATGGATTTATTAGTGGAATTTAATGATGATAAACAAAAGTATTTTTTTATATTTCTAGAACTGTATTATTTATTTATGACATCATGAAATTATCCATTTGACCCAAATGGTTGAACTACTTACCCACCACCAAGATGAAAAATATGATTTTATTTCTATCTTTATTTTAAAAATATAAAAGTTCATTCTATTAATAATTATTGTGTATGGATTTATTAGTAGAATTTAATGATGATAAACAAAAGTATAAATGTTGGATTCAATGAGAGATAATGTGATTTATTTAATGACTTAAATGTGAGACTTAGTGAGAGGTAATTGAATGCACTTAATGTTATTCTTTTAATTACATTTTCTGCCCTTTCAATGGAGATGAACTAAATTCAAGAAGGGAGGTATTTCAGTAAAGAAAATTTTCAGAAGCCAATAACTCCTCATTCACACTTTTATAAGTAGTATATATATATATATATATAAGAGGGGTGTTTGGCATTCGATTGTGATGATGCACGACCTAGCAGCTCCTCTGCTGGCTGATGACTCAGAAGCTGATTTAGATGGTTCCCTATTTGGGCCGAGCTAGAGATGTCCGAGCTATATAACAGAGAGCTATATAATTTTTTGAGAGACTTACAGGGAAATAATATTAGAGTGCTTGGGTTTCTTTACCCGGGGTGGGCACTCCGATGCTTAAGTCAATGAATTGGAGATTTTTGAGAGAGCTAAAGTAAGAGAGCTAGAGAGTTGCAAGAGCTAAATTGCACAGACCTTCTCTTAGGAAAATGATGCCTTTATATAGGTGTGAGGGATTAGAGACCTCCTGTAACGGGTCCCATCTTCTGCGTGGGCGTTATGGCTCACTCGAATAACTTTGAAGTGGGTAGGTCGGCTTAATGGTCAAGCGTTATTACTTTGGAAAACTTGGTCTTGATAACAGATCTATGTAATAGGTCGGCGAGCATGCCTTGTAGGTCATCACTTATACCCTACTTAGCTTGGCCAATCTCCAAAGGCGGTCGCTCCTTAAGCAGACGCCCTTTAGGTCGGTCAGGCCAAGGTGCTACTAGCCGACTTGCTGGGGTGATCTACTTACTCAATGTTGAGGTGTCACTTGGATGCCATGTATTTCTGAAGGTAGGTCGCGAGGTCGGCGGAGGTAGGTCACCATGTCTCTAGTAGGCCTCTAGAGGTAGGTCGTCAGGTCTCTAGTAGGTCTCCGTAGTTAGGTTGGCAAAGGTAGGTCTCCATGTCTCTAGTATGTCTAGAGGTAGGTCTCCAGGTCTCTAGTAGGTGTCCATGTCTCTAGTAGGTCTCTGGAGGTAGGTCTCCAGGTCTCTAGTAGGTCTTTGGAGGTAGGTCTCCAAATCTCTAGTAGGTCTCCAAAGGTAGGTCGCCAGGTTGGCGAAGGTAGGTCTCCATTTTGGCTAAGGCAAGTCCCCGCCTACATGGTGTCGAGGTGTCATCCAATTGTTTTTGAGATGCCACGTGTCATGACGTCAGTGGAGGGCCAAACCTACCCTCATTAGGTTAAATCGTAGTGTGGACCAAATCATACTATCTCATTGGAATTTGGAAGGTTGTCATCGCCCATTGTTGCTACTATGATCATCACTCGCCGCTGCAAGGCTGCCATTGTAAGTTTTTCTTCATCCATTCTATGCAAGGCTGCCTCTATTTTCTAATTCATTCTCATGCAATGTTTTAAAAAACGACCTGGAATCGGAACCGTTCTGGCCACCGGTTTTCGGTTCAACGGTTCGATCGTCTGGTCCAAATAGATGGCCTGTTTTGACAAAATAAAAAAAAAATTAAAAACGACAAAAAGTCGTTGAACTAGTCGATGGTTTGACCACTTGGGTCAATGGGTCGTTGATTGATTCAACGGTTTTTTGCCAAGGACAGGTTTGGGGTAAAATGGAACTAGTTGCTTAGACGGTTCTCGGGCCGAACGGTCTGACTGTCGTCAACGACAGTTCAAAACCATGTTCTCATGTATCTCTCATGACATGAAATTCCTTAAACCCTCTATTAGGAAACTCACCACAACTCACTAGAACTAGTCAAGCCACTATTATAGTGATCGCCATTGCTGGTGGTAAGACTTTCTTCATCCCGTTTTTATTGTTTCTTCATCTCTCTTGTGTATTGTTTCTCCATCTCTCTTATAAATAAAATGCATTATTTTGTATTGTCATGGTTAAATTATATTATTTTTTATAATGTATTAAGAATATTGTTTATTGCTAATTAAAAGTATAGATCATCTCACACTATATAAGTGAGATGTATGAAATTAAAACAAAAAGTGTGGACTGAATTACATCACGTCTTGCAAAATGCCTATGAAAAAATCGGGATCTGCTCCTCACAGAGCACACTTCACAACCTCATCCCACTGTGTATTGGGAATATCTCCCCATGAATAACAACACAAAAGATAGATGTTCCTAATACATGGTGGGATGAGGCTATGGGGTTTGTCTGAGGTATGTTTTGTGAGGAACAGATCCAAACTCCCTATGGAAATGTGGTGTGATTCAGTCCACTCATTTTTATTCATAGTGCATAACAATTATCTTGCTGTAGTGTAGTGTAGGCACATCCTTGCCACAAGTGCAGTGTGGATGAGAACATACCACCCAATTTCTCACCCACATTATAAAACACACCCTAAGGGAGCCTAAGTTTGTTTATCTCTATTTTAATCATATTATTATATTAGTTCACAAGTGATTCATGTTGTTGTATGAATATCGTATGCAAGAAAAATATTGTTAGAGAATAAAACCTATTTAAGGACTTCACCTAACTAACAACTTAAGCTTTTAGGTTAAACAATTCCTTTAGATGGTATCTAAGCAATTGAGCTTGTTAGACCAAGTGGTCTACTATTCCATAACACGAGGGGACATGTTAAAAAATAAAAGGGTTAAATACTTAAAATACTCCTATGGTTTAGTAAATGGACAATAACTTACCCTACTATTTGAAAAATTACTTTAAATAACCTTAAAGCTGCGTTTGGAAACGATGCAAATGGAGTGTAAATCCCAGTTCAGGGTAAATCTGTACTCTAGTACACTTTTGCCTGTGTTTGGCAACATTACATTTATGCATTGCCAAATAACAGACCAATGCATATTTACATTGATAATAAGATGTAAATACATCAATAAAAAATAAGTAAATTTGCATTCAGGTGGACTTTTGATAAAAAAAGTATATGCTTTATTGAAATTAATGTTTGCATCCATTACCACTAAAAGCCTGTTTGGTAAGAAAGTAAATTTGTCAATGCAAAACTAACCAAATTTTGCAATTTGTATGAACTATTTACACTCTACATCTTTGCATTCACACTTATTGGCATCGTTTACAAACGCAGCCCAAATTTCCTGACAATAGACAATTGTTAAGGACCATTAATGAAAAGATAGAAAAAAATACTATTTACAAACGCAGCCCGAATATCTATTTTGTCGGATTCAAATATCTCCATTTCGGACATTTGAATCGAATGAGATAATAAAATCGATCAGAATTTGGATTAAATTCGAATCACCCTCTGCTCGAAATTATACTTGATTTTCTTTTGTTTTTGACCGATTTGACCTTTACTCCGTTTATTTGTTCCATTTGCAAGCAAAAACTCCACTTCAACATCGACCTTTCGAGTTCAGATTGGCTCCCCACTGTGCACACCCCACAACACATCTCAGTGTGCATGAGATCATCTCCTGTACTCGTCATGGAGAGATGTTACCAGTGCACGGTTGGGATGTGCTGTGGCAGCAAATGTGAATTCCCACGATCCCTCTCCCTAGGCCGCTTACAACTTTGAAATGGGTCCAATAGTGATGAGCAGGATAACTTTGACCTCGTACCGCCTACGTTAAAGAAAGCAGATCCTTTTGAATAAGATGGAGAAATATAAAAGAATAAAAGCAGGAGAAAATTATTTACTTTTCCGAAAGAAATTGAAGAAAAGGTGCTATTATACAGGAATAACAATAAATTGAACTAGTGCAGCCATTGACACAATCACTTCTGCATAGTTTAATGAGGCATCAATCGATCAGAAGAATCAATTCATCTGAGAGATTCTTACGGTTTTGTAGCAGGAAACCTTCAGTCCATCGGCCATAATAAACCCTTGAGTGTATGAATTGTTAATACGTCAACAAATGCAGAAGGTTAGCAGCTGTTAACACTTGAAAGGTCTCTTTGCTTCGACTGCATGTGATAGATAATACCAGTACACAGCATTCTCAATCTGACACCGCGCTCATCATCTAATTTAAAACTACTCCCCATTAGACTTCTTGGGGGGTTCCCTCTGTATCATGTGCAAGAGGTTTTGGACAATTTCAGACATTGGTGGCCTGAACTCTGGCTCGGGCTGCAAAATAGATTTCATGATATGATGAATTCATTTCCCCTACATTGACAGTAGAATTATGAAAAAGAAACAGGCCAGCCTAGTGATCAAAATCATCAAAAACCACAAGAAACATTAGAAACTCAAAACAGTAAATAGATGCCCTGCGCAATTCCTAGACAAACTGGTTACTGATTTGAGATAACCAGAAGAGCAAAAGGTTTTACATTGAAAGCAAAACATGTTAAAACTAACTAGGTCAGGCAATTACTTTGATAGGGTTGGTTTTATAATCAATATTGACTCAGTTCAAGCTTGAAGATAGGATTACACGAATAAGAAAATATGAAATATTTTATAAAGAAAAATTATATTTTTTCAATCAATCAAGTGCAAATTTTATCTTATTTGTTTAAAATTTTCAGCTGAGCGTAGGTTGAGGGGGAACACAGGCTCAAGACCCAAACAGAATAAAAAGGAACTCAAAACAACACACATCCACTGGCCGACCCCTAGCAAGACTATCAGTAGCCAAGTTATAAGACTTAAAAGGATGCATTGGAACAATCTGTTCACTCTGAATCAGTGATTTAAGCATACAAGGCTTAAATCCTGAAGCTAGCCTTGACACAAGGCTCGAGGAAAGCACCATGGGGATCAACCCTGGGGTTCATACTTGGAAGTGCAACTGTGCAAGGGATATTTCTCACCTTGAAATGCCTGTTCGTCTGTTGTAAATGCATATGCAGTTTTTTGTGCTTGTAAATATGCTGAACATGTTTAAAGAGCTAAACTTTACTTTGGAAGCTTTTTAGAAGTTATTAAGTGGTTTATAAGAATGTGATGACTTTCTCTAAAGCTCCTAAAATTCTTATTATTCTTTTTTATGTTATCTGTCATTGATTTATATGCTCTTTCTATATAAAAATATGCTCCTTACTGTTTCCTATAAAAAAAGCTCCGCTGGCACATGTCTCTACACTTTTTTTTTGATAAATACACGTCTTTACACTTTTTCATATTCATTTAACATTTTTCTCTTTCTTAAAAAAAGATGGTAATTCATAAGGCTTAATCCTCAAGCCTCAACGCTTACACCTCACACATCATACTGTCCTGGTGTTTTGCTTCACACCTTGATGTTTTTAAACATTTGATGAACACCAATGCTGGTACAAGTATAGGAAATTCTTGTTCAGACAAGGTTAAAAATCACACGTGCTAATATTTATACAACTCTTCTGGTTATGGTGATCCATAGTAATGGTACATTATATAGATGGATCGAGGGCCATAGCAATCCAAATTGCACATCTCAGGTGTTAGCACACTAAAGAATATCTACCATGGTTTTTAAAAACGAACTGGTGACCGAACTGGTCAGGGGTCCGGTTACCGGTTCGAACGGTCCGACTGTTCGACCCGAATGGCCATCCGGTTCTGACAAAAAAAATAAAAAATTAAAAAAATTGGAAAACGGTCAACACCGTTCAAACGGTTAACCGGCCAATTCAGTGGTTTTCTGACCAAAATCAACAGTTTTGGGGGAAAAAGCGATTTTGGAGGAAAACGGAACCGGTCATCCCGATTTTTCCGGTCCAACCATCAGGTCCAGTCCGGTTTTGAAAACAGTGATATCTACAACCTAAGTAATAACTGAAAAGGAAGCTGGATTTCTCAAGGCAGGTTTCAGAAAGCACTCATTAGGGCTGTCAATGGGTCAGGTCTGGTTCGGGACAGCCTGTACCAGTCCCAAACTGATTACTTAATCAGGGCAAGACAGAGATCCAGAACCGTCCTGATAATCAGGTCTGACCCAATAACCTGATTATACTAACATAATTTTTTATTTAAATAATAATATAAAACTTGATTTTTTATAATATAATCTTACTAAAAATGATAGTAAAATAGTAAATTATTTATATATTAATAAATCAAGTATTTTTAACCAAAATTGTCTTATATATTATCCTCTAATTTTACCAGTAGACAATATAATAAAAATTACAAAAAATCTAAAAAACCTTTATATTTTACTAACAAAATAATTGTTTCAGGTCCAAGTTGGTTCGGAACAATCAAGAACCAGAACCAACCTTAGTTGTCAAGGTGACGTCGAGGTGTCTAGTCACTTTTTGGGGCTCGTCTTCGTCCAGACGCCAAGTGGGTTTATATACCACTTATACAAAGTTATATAATGTTTCATATATATATATATATATATATTATATTTTATTTTTATCATATAATATTAATATAGGCATGATACACTGTATCATTTTATTATTTCTTTCACTAAATAATATCCTTATTGTTAACTTCTTACTTTGTTAGGGTTCTGAGTGATGGATATTCGAAAAGCTAAGCTAAGAACCGAGGAAGACTAACAGGATTTGAGTGATGCAGAGTTCGAAGTCTTAAGCAAGGAGCACCAACCAATCACAGAAGCCAGAAGGTATGTTCTTCTTCTTAAAAAACAGGGGTTTTCTTCTTCTGGACAAAAACAGGGGCTCTGCCCTTCTTATCTTTCTTCTTCTTGAACAAAAACAAGGGCTCTGCCCCTTCTTATTTTTCTTCTAGAACAAAAACAGGGGCTCCACCCCATATTTTCCACGTTACAGCCATTACTTTTTTTGTCTTTTTACTTCTTTTCCTACAATAGAAACAGGGGATCAGCCTCTTGTTTTTTCGATCCTTTTTAGACACTAAGCAACTAAGCGCTCCCTTGTTGCCCACCTTGGCACCTTGAAAACTATGGAACCAACCCGATTATTAATCAGGACAAAATGACTGAACTAGGACCAATATAATCGGTTTGGTCAGTGACGTCAGTCAGGTAAAACAGACCCATTGACAGCCCTAGCACTCATGTCAAGTCAAATAACTAAGAGAAAAAAAAAAAACTGCCACCATATATTAGAAATAAGTCCAAAAATCTAAAATGAAACTTGCCTGGATACAAAGGGAAATAATGTCTGCAAAACGTGATAAAGATTTAGCAGGGTAAACTCCATTCAGAGAAGGATCTACCATCCTTGACAGTGCATCAATATCATGAAGTTGAGTAATTGCCCATCTTGCCAAATGTTGCTCTCCTCTAGGCCTTGATCTATCCATATTGTTTTAAGAAGAAAATAAGTAGCTGTAAAACAAATAAATGACAACAAAGCCAAAAAGAAAGTTTAGATAGAGAATCCTAACCTGTCATAGGACTTTCGCCCTGTAAGAAGTTCTAACATTACAACTCCAAAACTGTAAACATCACTTTGGTAAGTATAAGTTCCAGACTCAAATTCTGGAGCACCATACCCATAAGCTGATAGAAGTTGTCCTGACAACTGAGAGTAAATAGAACAGTATCAGTGCCAGTTTATAAAGAATGAAACATAATTTTGAGCCTATAGCTCAATTTGGAGTTTTGGACTGTTATAGATGTGATACTTCTCAACAACTCAATTTGCACTAGACTAAATGGTGCTAGAACTTGTGTGACAGTGATGATGACAACAGTGGACAGACAGCCATCAAATAGTGCCGATTGAGAGTAAGATATTCAATCTAGAACTTACTGGCAATGGAAGAAATAACAGAGAAGTGTTTCATGTGACGGGGAGAGGTTGGGATTTTTCCAAGTTCATTTTGTTGAAATAACCTGATCAGATGATGGGCTAAATTCTACTAAAAGCAGAATGCAAGAAACCAATAGCAGAGAAACTCTTAAGATCTAAATTCTTTGATGATAAAAAAAAAACCTTTAAGTCTAAATTGGAGAAGCATAGGTCCATGCGTCAAATATGTGTGAATAATAATAAGCAACCTTTGAATTTCAAAAAATATTGATTTACCTGACTAACGGCACCAGATGATATCAAAGGAGACAAACCACAATCAGAGACACGTACTACAAGTTCATCATCAAGAAGAATGTTAGCAGACTTGAAATTCCGATGTACAATGGGTGGTTGGCAGACCTCATGCAAATACCTTCACCAACAAAAAAGGACAGTATTTAGCTTTACAAATGATAATGTTTAAGTGAATTAATCATGTATGGTAGAAGCACAAAAACATTAACAGACATGAAATTCCAATATGATGGTTATGTTACTTACTCTAGAGCCCTTGCAGCTCCAAGTGCCATCTGAATGCGGGCATTCCATGAAAGTTTTCTGTTGATCTCGTCATCAGAGTGCAGGGCATCATGGAGTGTCCCATTGCTGCAATATTCATAGATGAGTAGCTTTTGCCCATGTTCAGCACAATAACCCTCAAGCTTGATAACATTAGCATGTTTAAGCTTAGAAATGCTTGAAACCAACTCAAGAAATTCCTCATCCGTCTGCCGCCTAGAAGCCGCATTATCCAGTTTCTTTACTGCCAGGAGCTAAAGAAACATCAAGGAGCAAAACCATAGGAGTCAGATACGAGGACACTAGATGCACTGAATAAAATGCCCATTAACATACCCACAGAGAGCATGCATTTCAAATTTAGTGAGATACTGAAATTGACAACAATTGGAATAAAAGCTTCAAGGATAAAGGCAACAAGAAATTATCTCACGATTTAAAATAAGCTTTATCTAGGCAAGTGTTTGAAACCATTGGAAAATAGAACATGGAATTCAGATTCTTCCACTTGATAGAAGATGAAAAAGGAAATATTTGTGTGGGGGAGGGGGAAAAGAGGTAGTATACAAATAGATATATTGACAATGAAACTGGACTACCAATTATCTCAAAGTGGTCCAAGTCCAACTAAAGCCAAGAAAAATTAGAAGGGACTTAAGAGTTAGGAAATGATATAAAAAAGTTAGGAAGTAGCAAAATCTGTCATCAGTATATTATTTTGTTTTCCTTAAGAAGGAACGATAATTATTCTTGGATAGAAAGCATGGGATTCAGTCAGTGCATGTGAACCTATTCTGTTTTAACAATTTCCGGTAAAATTTTCAAAAAGCAACGATAAAGATTCATCTATGAAGAAATAACAATCTAAAACTCTAGAAATAAAAATCTGCATATTACAAAGATGACATCAAAGAAAACTATCAAAAGTAGTGTATACAAAACCAGACCGGAGCGGTCAGCTGGACCAGTTGAACCATGGCCTGGGGCACTAGCCAGTTCAGTCATACCCTAGAAATCAGACTTGATAGAAAACCAAATGACCAGATGGTTTAACCAGAGAACTGGCAAACCAGTCCTGGTTTCATAAACCGCCAGGGTCACTAATTGAGACGAAATTTCATAATAGCAATGGCAAGATTTTAACCCACCTCTTATTTATGTGTATTTCTTAGTTACCATTAATCCATTCCTTTATTTTTGATAGTTAATGACTCTTTATTATATACATTACTTTATTACACACTTATGTCAAAGAAAATGTGAGTTAAGAGGCTTGAACCCTGATCGTTTACTTTAAAAAAGTAAGAAACTTGCCAACTATCTGTTATGGTCACACCATCCGGCAGCGCACTGCGGAGCAGTCATAGGCAGCAGGCCGCACAGCAGCAGGCACCGCCTGGCAGCACACACCGCCAGGCAGCAGCGCGCACCACACGCACCGCACCGAGCACCCACCCGGCACCGCACGGCAGTGGCACCATGGCGTGCAGCACGCACCGCTAGGCAGCAGCGTGCACCGCACGCATTGCACGGCAGCACGCACCGCGCACACGCCCGGCACCATGAGACGCGCGCACGCACCCAGCAGCAGCAGCAGAGCGGGGCCCACACGACAGCTCATAGGGGTGGGCCCACCCTTATCTGGACACGTCAAGCCGACTCGCCGCCAGCTTACCTTATCCCTATCTTATCCCTATCCCTTATCCTTGTCTTATTTTATCTTCTTAAGTAGGAGTTGTGTTACCATTAGGAGTAGGTAATTAGGAGTTTTAGTTTAAGTTGGATTACCCTAGCCTAGCCGAATCCAACAAGGAATTCTCTTCTGTAATCTCCTATTTAAGGAGCTACGAATTGAAATAAAACATTTAGTTTTTCGCAGTCAAGAAAGAGAGTAAAGAGAGTTCGGGTGATCTCTTGGACAAATCACCCATTAGGAGAGTTAGGGTGATCTCTTGGACAAATCACCCATGAGATAGTCAAAATAGGGCCTGTACGCAAGGCCAAGGGCAAGGAAAGATCTGAGGTTCCAAGAGAGTTAGGATGATCTCTTGGACAAATCACCCATGAGATAGTCAAAATAGGGCCTATACGCAAGGCCAAGGGCAAGGAAAGATCTGAGGTTCCTACGGTGGAGAGACCCGTGACGCGATCCTACGCTCGGGCCTATAACAAATTGGTATCAGAGCCAAACGTCACGGGCGATATGGAGCAGCTGTCTTCCAAGGTCCACGAACTGGAACACCAACTTGCAGAAACCAGCAT